GGTTTAGGGTTTAGGGTTTACTGTCGGGGGCCTTCATAATTACAATAATTAGAATAGGGTTTTGGGCTTTTTTTTATCACCTCTTTTCCTTCGCCTGAGGTCCGGAATACCATGTTGGTTGAGGCTTTGGATCCGGGAGCGGGTTTTGGGGTTTAGGGTTTTGGGGTTTCATATACCCCAAAAACCTATTCTAAATTTTAAGGACCCTATATTACCCTCATGCGCTAGGTGTCTGGCAAAGCCTGAATCTCCAAGAAGGCAGGCCCCACAGATGCCTCTCGAACGTGACAGACACGGAAACCGGCTACAGGCCTTGCGCCGTGACCCCTTCGGGCCTTCAGCTTCACCAGAGCTTCCTTCACCTCTGCCGTGCTGCAAGCCCTCAGCACCTGAACATCTACTGGCACGCTGCGAGTCTGCCGACATCGCTCACAGCCCTAAGCAGCACCTCCTTGTAGCCGCATGCCTTTGCGATGCTGGGAAAATCGATATCCGCAGATCCTGCTTCCCAGGAGATCCCCAGATAGATGGATAGATGTTCACATAGATGGACCGATGGATCCATAGATCCCTAGTTCGATAGATCGACGTTTGGATAGATCGATAGATCGGTAAATCGACAAAAATGAATAGACAGATAGATAGATAGATAGATAGATAGATAGATAGCTAGATAGCTAGATAGATAGCTAGATAGATAGATAGATAGATAAATAGATGGATGGATGGATAGACAGACAGATAGATAGATCGATGGATAGATAGACAGATGCAGATGTATATGTGCCGGATCGGATCGGATCGATAGACAGAATGATAGATGGACAGGCAGACAAACAAACAGACAGACAGACAGGGAGCGGATAGACAGATAGACAAGTTTAGATAGGTTCCACAGGTCAGAAAGGTTGGACGGGTCAGTGGTTGGATACAGTCGACAGATAGATAGGTTAGATACAGTAGACATGGAAAGATTAGATAGGTTAGATTAGATAGAAAGATTGGGAAGATAAGATAGACACGATAGATACGATGGGTGTAGATGTGGGCGTAGACTAGATGCGGATATAGATGTAGATATAGTTAGATATGGATATGGATATGGATGTAGATGTAAACGTGGATATGACAATGGATATAGATATGGCTAAAGGTCTAGATATAGATGTAGATATAGATATGGGTCTAGATCTAGATATAGATGTAGATATGGATGTAGATAAAGAAATAAAGCTATATTTAGATAAAGATGTAGATAAATGATAGGTTTAGGATTTAGGCAACTTACGTTAAATTCCTTAACCCTAAACCCTAAACCCTGTTAACAACCCCAATCCCTAAACCCTAAACCCTTTAAATGCCTAAACCCTGTAAATTTCCTCAACGAGAAGCCGGTCCTGTCGGCTGACCGCCCACCGAATCGTGCACTGCGTTGTTGATGAGGACGTGCTTAAAGTTTCCAAGGCCTCAGGGAGCTAAGAGAGTCGTTTTGAAGGGTTTTGGGGCTTGGTGAGCTTAGGGGTTTAGGGGTGTTTTGGGGTTTAGGGATTAGGAGTTAGGATTTCAGTGGTTTAGGGATTAGGAGTTAGGATTAGGGGTTTAGGGATTAGGAGTTAGGATTTAGGGGTTTAGGGTTTAGGGGTTAGGATTTAGGGGTTTAGGGTTTAGGAGTTAGGATTTAGGGGTTTAGGGTTTAGGAGTTTCGGGGTCTAGGTGTTTGGGGATCAGGCCCTCGACGCAGAAGCCGTATCCAGGGCAGCTGCCGCACTTGCCGATCGTTGCAAAACAGCCCATGTGCATTAGGGCCTCAGTGACCGTCCATGAGGGTCCAGGGTTTTTGGCCTTTGGGGCTTGAGGGGTTTAGGGCTCCGATGTACCCGATCCGCAGATTTGGACGAGATCGTAGGTCCCCCGCCGCGCCATCCCCGTCGATGCATAGAACTTCCTGCTGTGGCCGCGCGAGTGCCACACCTTCATCAGAATTGTCTCGAGTTAGTAGGTCTATTGGTGCTTCCAGTAGCAGTCGTAGCAGCAGTGGTATTTGCAGTGGCATGCGTATCCCTACTCGCACTCGCAACTCGTATTCGTGTTCGTTTCATTCGCATATTCAGTCGTCGTCGTGGTCGAGGTCTTGGTCCTGGTCTTGGTCTCTCTCGTGCCCATCCTCGTCCTGTATGTATATACCGCTTATATACCTATGTGTGTATGCATGTATGCATGTATGTATAAATGTATGCGTCGTACATGTGTATATACGTACGCGCACACGTTCGCGCCTGGTGGTTTACATGTAGACCTACACTTACATGCCTTTGTTTAAGCCGGCATCCTCATCAGAAGCCGAGGCCCTAAACCCTAAACACCTAAACCCTCAATCCCTAAATAAACCCTAAACCCTAATTAAACCCCTAAACCGCTAAACCCTAAACCCTAAACCCCTAAAAACCCCCAAACCCCGAAACCCCCAAAGCCCCCAAACACCTAAACCCCTAAAACCCTCAGCCCCCAAACCCCTAAACCAACCCTAAAC